TTATCAGAAATTACAGTACCCTAAAAAGGAAAGATATTAGTATATTATTACACAAAATACCTTAGATGCTCTGGCATGAAGAGTTAGCGTTTGAGCAATTCTCTTGTTCTGGTTCAGGTCAGATTGGATCCGTTCACTTAATTCCTCACATAGTTGATCCAGCCAGCCTTTGACCTACAACATAAAGATTGACTGAATTAACTGAACCTTAACAAAAAATTTCCGAGATTCTTACATAGGAATGAGATATTTTGTTTTTTGAGACATGCATGTGGGATCCTTTTTTTTCTCAAATACATGCATGTGGCATCTGACTCAGGTAGCACAAAATTTAAGTTGGTACTGCATCTAGCATCCCTTAAGGCCATCAAAGTGCAGCATCATAGAGCACCAACATGATTCTGTGTTGTACATGCTGCTCATTTCAACAAACTAATATTTGATAAGAGCAGCAGTAGTCAAGTACAACGACTGTTCAGAATTAGTCTGGTGTAAGCTCTACAAATGTGGCTGACATGGACCACAAAAGTTTGTACATGGAACTGCCAAGTTTTCTTTAGTAACCACTGATCCTCTCACTGACATGCAGGGCTCCAGACTCCAGATCAACAATGTCACCATACAGGTCACAAGACATCATATTGAAACTTGAGTTACATATTTTCAAGTTATTTCACCCAAGTCAAATAAGTATGCAACTAAACATATGGTCCTTCATACATCAGGTGCCAATTGAAATGCTGTTATGGGGGTCAGCTAGGGGGGCAGGGGCCCATAGGATTAATTAGAGTTATTGGGTCAATTAGAGATAGGGTTAGATTCGGGTCAATTAGAGATAGGATTGGATATGATTTGTTAGGATTTGATTGGGCCTTCCTTAGGTGGTTACAAATCCTCTATCTATAAGGGAGGTGTTGTATCAAGGAGAAAAGGAATGAAGAACAATCAGTCGAATTCACCCCAAACACTCTAGTCTCCCTTCAAGCCAACTTTGTCAGGCTATCGTCCTAGCAATAGTTATCCCCCAAATGAACTACGGTTCATAACAAATGCTACGCTCTATCATTATAACTTCGGATACTCTGTTTCTTGAGCAGGTAATAACTAAAGATTTTGTTAAAGAACAACGAAAATGACAGAGTAAGCAATTCTTACAGAAGCACTGTTCTTCAATGCTCTTGGGCCAGGAAATGTCTTTCCACACCCGTGACTCTTGGGTAAAAGACGATCCTCAACTTCTTCCCCACTAATGCCCCTAGCAGTCTTCCATAACCATGTTCTGCATGAAGTCAAGCGCTTACAAGATGAGTTAGTGAGTATTTGCCTATTTGGCATGATATTAAAAAAATATATGCAAAGAAGTATGTTTGATACAACGAAACAACTATCAACTTAAAAGTTACATCATCTGCTAAAGGCCAAAGGGAATAACAACTATTAACTCTTTAAAATGTGATATCATATCTTCACTATAAGCTTATATGTACATTAATCAAAGTAAACCAAATAATAACACATTAGTAAAGCATGAACATAATTACCCTGTATTTACTCCATACTGCTCTTGTAACTTATCCTCTGTAAAACTTAGGAGATCACCAATGGTCTCAACCCCAAGATCATCCTGCAAGGAACTTCCAAGCTTACCACCAAGCTGTTTCCTGAACAATATGGTTATTCTCAACATTCAGTTTCACACCATGCATAGTTTCAATTAAAGGCTTAAAGCACAATGTTCTGTGATCTAATAGTGATACAGAGCCTCAAAAACTTTTCCCAGGAAAAAGCAAGAACCTAGAAAGGACAGAGGCATCTTGTTAGAGTTAGATCATTACATCTTCTTCACCGGTAGTGAGGCTAGAAAGTCTTGAACTGATGAAGAAGGGACAACTGTTTGTTGAGCAGGCTTGTGCATTCCACTGACAAGTTTAGCTAACATCTGCGCAGTATAAGAACAATGAGTGGAAGACTGATAGCAAGAGAAAGGAATCAAGGAATGCAGAAAACAGAAATACAGGAACCTGAGCTGATTTCCTGAGCATAACAAAACTAACACAACTACCAAACATTTTTGTCAACAGAAAGAAAAGCATCTACTCACTATTACGACTCATTATAAACCTTATTGTGAGCAATCCCAGCAGAGCATGTGAATTGGGTTTCCTCCAGAACTCTAACTCGTAACTGTGCAACAATTATAGCTCCGCATGCCAGTAACTTGTCCTGGTAATCAGCGTCTGATCGACAAAGCCATGCCCTTGCGTTCTTTTCCTTCTCTCCGGCATCCTGAATATATCATGACCTATGATCCTGTCACATCAAACAGCAGAAGCAGCAACAAAACTAATTGTGAAAACATTCTTACAGACAGAAGGCCCAAGATATTTGACTTTGCTGCCTCCATAAAAATCTCCTCTGGTGAATCCGGGGGAGCTTGTAAGAGCATTTCCTTTGCTGCATCAGTAAGGTCAAGATAAACTTCGTCAATGGATGCCCGCTCGCACTTCCCTTTGCTTGCAAGGATTGCAACAACCTGAAAGTTCAGGTGCAAAATATAGACTTATTAGTTATTATTGTATAATATGCCATGTAAATCATGTGCTGTTAACTAGTAGTAGTAGTAGTAAATTAGTCTACGATGGTGAACCAACCTCAGAACCAGCACTTCTGTAAAGATTAAGGTCGGCCTTGCCTCGCGCCACCGGGACCTGAACCAGATTAATACCAGGACAGACCCTCTTAGCCTCATCTCCGCGCATGGACCTGAATAAGCATCACCAATTCGTCCGAAGTTACGACCTACACAAATTCCAAGTAGATGGGACTGTCGACGAGTAGACGGGACTGTCGACGAAGAAAGGAAGGCACTCACCTCTTCACACCAAACCCACGAGCCTCGTAGCTGACGGCAATCAAGCCGCCGCCTTTCCAGTCGTTGTACTGCACCACGGCGGTCGGCTGGCCCCTGAGCGCCGGGTTCCTCCGCTGCTCGACTGCAGTAAAGCAAATGGCCACTTTTCAGTCGAAGAACTATTGGTCATGGGCGGGGTGGGGGAGGGAGAGGCAAACCTTGAACGTAGAAGCAGTCCATGTCGACATGGGCGATCACCCGGGGCTCCTGTGGCTCCGGCTTGGCCACCGGCATCCCCAATACCGCCCCCCTCCGGAAAAAGAAAAAAATGATAACAACCGGACTCTGCGCTCGCCCTCAGGCCTCAGGCCTCAGCCCTCGCCTTCCAATTATTTCCTGCCGCCACAGCGCCCCCTCTCCTTTCCCCGTCGGGACTCGGGAGGCAGCAATCCCTAGCCTAGGTCCGGGCGGTGGCCATGGGCAGCCGTGGAGGAAGCCTTCTCCGTCCTTTTTCGAGTTTTGGAGGAAAGCTTCTTTGGCAAGATGAAGAAGATGAACGGGCAACTACATATAGCTCATTACTAGACCAGCCCACAGCCCATTGCATACAAAGCCCAAGCCCGAACATATACAGTAGCAATGTGATTTCCCTGAAAGAAAAAAATAAATAAAACTGAGAGATAAATCCTTGGGGGATTGCAACTTTGCAAGCTGCCGCTGTGCGGTTGCGGTCGCTCCCCTCCCTACTCCGGCCAGAAGCAGCGACGGTACCGGCAGTCGGTTACTCCACTCGGCGGCGGCAGCGGCGGCGGGCGGTGGCGGCAGCGGCAGCCCATCCTTTTCCGTTTCTCCTCCAGTCCTACTGCTCTTCTGATACTCTATTAAGGTACAGCGTGAAGACGAGAGTTCTCTTCATCTCGTGAAAGGCGACGCTCTTATCTGCTTTCGTGGATTTTGTTTTAGTTTTTCGCTAATACAGATTATAGAATGTTTTGCTTGAGGAGCTACTGGTCGCCTGCATTTGCTTCAGTAAAGGAGGGGCCTGTTCGACATCATATAAAGTTTAATTCTGTAGTGGTGAGCTTAATCTACTGTGCCGCTTTCGGTATGCATATGGTGGTTCGGTACTGGCGGAGCGGCCTATCATGATTCCTATTAATTGCGATTGTGCGACAGGTTTGTGGTATCAGGGGTCCAAGACCGAGATATCCCCGTGTGTGGAAAACTCGGAAGAAAATTGGGACTATTTCCAAGTCACAGAAGCTTGTCGAATGTGTGAGGTTCTTGAACGCTTCTCTGTTGAAAAATTAATTGTGTTTGTATACTCTTGTGCATCACTTTGACATTGCTGGATTAACTTTAGTCCACTGCCACAACCCAACAAACAAGGAAATATCTTTTCATTCAGCTTTTGCAGATTTCATCTTCTGTATTTGTAGCAAATTTCAGTCACATTACCTGTATCACTGTATGTTACATAAGGGGCAACATATAGTTTGTGTAGGATGTCTTTTTCAAATACTCATTTTCCTATGGACACATTCAAATTGAGTGTCTGAAATTATATGTCAAATTTTTATCATCTCGTGCAGATTAAAGGTCTGTCTAATGTAAAGGAGGAAGTTTATGGAGCACTTGACTCATTTGTTGCATGGGAACTGGAGTTTCCCTTGATAGTAGTAAAGAAGGCACTGAAGAAACTTGAAGACGAAAAGGAATGGAAACGAATAATTCAGGTGTTAAATGGAAGTTCCAAGTTTTGATGTGAACTATTTGGTCTAAATTATTTTCCTACATATTCCTTTCAATTGTCATGAATTTCTAGTTAAAGTTTCATACTGTATTAGCTGCTAGTCCCCTTTCTTGGAGAATGTTGTTAGTAATCTCATCCTTTGACAAGTCAATTAGCTGCTCCCAGTTCTAGAAGAACAGAATTAGCTGCTCTCTTTTAACAGTAAACCGTTTTTGTTTGGAAGATAATGGCAGGAGCTCTGCCTTTCAATTAAGAAAGATGAACTGTTTTTTCCTTTACCAATACTACACCTAGGATTTAGTTGTTCCTTTATAACAAACCCTTATTCTGAACTGAAACAATGACCACATAATCTAGGTCATTAAATGGATGTTCAACAAAGGTCAAGGGAAGACAATGGGAAGCTATTACACCTTGTTGAATGCTTTGATCGAGGACGGACGGATTGAGGAAGTAGAAGAGTTATTTGGAATGGTATTCTCACGATATATGGAGGGTTTGCCTCGTACATTTTTCATGAGAATGATTTCTTTCTATTACAGTGCTGGAGTGTATGATAAGATGTTTGAGGTAGGAAATGAAATATGTTTTTTTTTCTTATTTCACCAGTTTGCATGCTGTTTGAACTAAAAGTTGGGGTTTGGCTTCAGCAGAAACATTAGTTGGGGATAATTATCCAAGCATTCTTCTGCTGTCTTACACGTAAATTCTCTAGATTTTTGCTGATATGGAGGAACTAGGCGTAAGACCTGATGGTTCTATTATCAGGATGCTAGGTGATGTATTTCAGAAGTTAGAGATGATGGACAAATATGAAAAGTTAAAAAAGAAATACCCACCACCAAAATGGGAATATCGATACATCAAAGGCAAGCGCATCAGAATGAGAGTTTACCCCAATAGTAAAACTGAAGAGGCAACAAAAGGAGACCCTGACACTGATGAACTCGAAGAGGTGGAAAGTATACACCTTAATAATAATCAATTGGAAGAAGCAGCAAGCTCAGGCCCTGACAGGAGCGTATTGGATGATGTAGCTTCTGGAGACCTTGAATATATATAGATCAGAGCTTCCATTTGGTATTTTTTGTGCCTGCTTGATCAAAGCAGACTAGAGCAAACTGAACTGGTAACACACTCTCTCTATTTTGATTTGAGATCCTAGAACCCAACCCATGTTGTCATACTTCTAAAACATGGGCATGGATATCTTCAGATCTACTTTACTATTAGATTGACTAGAAACTACATGTCATGCTTTGCCATCAGCAGTCTTTCATGACATTATGGTTACTTTACCATGAGATGTGTTCTTTAGAGTTTGGTTACTTGATTTATCTGATTCACTTGCATAAGGCTCATGCTTTTTTGAATGCTTCCCACTAGATTAAAAATATAGCAACTTTATTAGGTACAAACAGTTATCCTTTTCCTAATGCTTATAATGCGTCCATATTTCTGCTTTCCTCAGTTGTGCTGCAGATTGAGATTTTGGTGTAGCCAATTTGCCACTGGTGCCATTGGGAAATAAAAGATCAGCTCTCGTGGTCAATGGGTTTCCAGCAGTTTATCCGAGCATATTCTGTCAAATGTATCTGACTGCTTTCGTGAACATATGGTTGATTGTTGAAGGCAATATCCTAGGCATCAGACAGGGCAGTAGGCAATATCCTAAGCATTCGTATGGTCCTATATTGTTCTGCATGGAAAGACACTATTGACACATAGAGACTTGTGTTACGTGCGCTAACCTTCACAGATACTGCTACTAGCTGAACGATTTTGCTGGGCACTTGCCACTTGAGGACTCACTTTCTGAAGCTCCGGCTCTAGACACAGAAAAATACTCCGGCTTTTCTACTATTTACCAGATAATGACTCTTCTTTCTAAAGTGTTTGATACAGTTCCTCCAGCTGCTACCGGATTTGAAGTCGAAGCTATGTGCTTTCATAGCACCTCTTACGGAGCTCCTTAGATTTCATGGATCTAGGAGCTAGATCCGTGTTTTGGTGGATTTAAAGGCGGTGGAATTTGAGGTATCTGGCTAAAAAAAATAGGAATGAAGCTTTTTTTTCTTCAGATTTGAAGCTATTGGGAGCTGTCCCAACCACCCTCGAATTTGGCCCATGGGCGTCGCTATTTTGGGCCTACGAATCTTGTCATACTCAAGCCTGCACATGCATCGCGTTCGGCGGCGTTCCCTCTCAAAAACAACGAGAAGTCGAGAACTGTCGCCGTTCGGCCCCCTCCAACCTCCGCCTCCCTCCTGACCCAAGTCGCCCAACGGCGTCACCGGACAAGACTCTCTTGCCTCCATGGCGCATGCGTCCTCAGTCCTCAGTCCTCACCCACCCCAGTGACAGTGTGGTACCAGTATACCACGCATATCCAGTATCGCTACGGTAGGGGAGACGCAAAGGCGAAGGCACGAAGACCAGAAAGCCATTGCCCGTCGCTCCTGAACGGGCGCAGGCGCGAGGTACCGCGCCGTGCCCTGAGCACCAGTGCACCACCAGCCTTTGCCCCTGGCTTCTTCTCCGTAGAAAAGCCTACGGCGCGAGGCGCGAGCTTTGCCGTGCCATGCCACCAACAGTACTAGTGGGGTGGTAGTGTGGTACGGCTCACGAGAGGCGGAGCAGTAAAAATTATCGGCGGATGCCAACGGAAAGCTGGGGTGCGGGGACAGAGTGCTCCGCCTTCGCGGCCGGCGGCAGGTGGGTAGCTCGACTCACGATCCCCACCAGGATTTTTTCCTATTTTTAACAGGTGCATCTTTTCTCGCGTAGAGCAGATTATCGGCGGATGCCAACGGAAAGCTTGGATGATTTTGGTGATCTCCTCAAGAACGCGATCTTAGCCTTCGCGGCCGGCGGCAGGATTTTTTTTAGGCGCGGCGTGGCATGGCACGGGGGGCATGAGCAAATCCGTTTCTCTTGCCCTCTCCCCTCTGTGCGACTGTGCAGTGCTTAGCAGCAATTCGCTTTAGCAGGAGAAAGGATTAACAAACGCGACTTTGCAGAACTGTTTGGTGCCGTTGGTAGCTCGTGTTCCGAGGCCAATCAATCTTACTATATACTTTAATTCGAAAAAATTTGCTGAGCTGCCACTGCCAGTGCGTATTCTTTAATCATTTTGTTGGAGATTCATGTGCAAAGGCCCTGTGAATCTGCGATCTTTACCTCAATGATTAGTGCCTTCTGTAGGAGGTAGGACTTCCGTTTGTTAGTACTAGTATCACTAGCATCAGATTAGCGAAACGCAGGTAACCCTGAATTAGCTTGGTTTGCAGTCACAGCCCGTTCGTTTGGCCGTGGTTGTCAGAACGATCGTAAATTTCAAATTTAACGATATTTTTCTCTCACACAAATCAGTCAAAGAATAATAATTCACGATCCAAAGATACGATCGTTTCAGCTCCACTGTTGATTTGCAGTCGGTCTTTGGCAGTTTGACTCCTGTCGTCTTTCGGAACCACATAGGCTGCCATATGCTGTGCACCGAACGGAAATGACTGTCCTTGTCACTTGCGTTTGCATTACAATTTACAAATGATAGGAAGCTTACCAGACGAGCCAAAGATTGTGACTGCTATAGGCCAACGTTCAGTGTTGCGCTTGTATATGTGGTACTGCAGTCCTAAGATCACGCTGAGGAACTTTCGAAAGCAAGTATCGTTCTTTTCGGAAATCAATCGTCCTGTTGGCTTGAGTTTGTTTGACTTATAAGTCATATTTTTTTAACTTATAAACAGTGTTTTTCTCTCACATTAAATCAATCAATGGTATTTTCAGCCAAACAAGCCCAAACGAATAGGACGAATGTGCTCTCAAACTGGTCAGAGATTTACGTGTCCAGCTCATTGGACTCGATGTTGCTTGACTGCAGATTAAGTGACAGAAACTTGGGAACCACTGAAAGCTGTTTTGACTTTCGATACTAGAACCACATGATGAAAAATGATTCCAGGATAAATAGTACCATTTGATTGACGTTTCCACTAATCTATGATAGGCATACATTGGTGATGAAAAACTTAACTCTCAGGGAAGGTGAAGCAGATTTCTGCAAATGCTACTGGAAACTGCAAATGCACGCAGCCTTCGTGAATCTGAATCGTGATGGTGCACCAACCACAGCATGCCAGCGTGTGTTTCCCGGGTTTCCTCGAGACGGGGTAACGAAAAGGAACCAGAGCGAATAGAGCGCGAGGACCAAGCACGTACTCCCTCTATCCACAATACATGAGGACGTTGGATACGTGCGGGTCAAATTTTTTTAATTTTAATTAAATTTATAAAAAATATGTGCAATATTTATGTTTTTAAATATATTTAACAACCTATTTAATAATATTAATTATATATTATAAATATTAATATTTTTTATATATAATTAGTTAAAGTTAGAAAAAGCTGACTTCTTGTAAACGAGAATGACTTTTATCTTGGAAGAGAGGAGTAGTACGCATCCTTTCATGGACCTCCCGTGTTTCGTCTCGCACCCGTTGGTTGCCCTTGTGCCCTTGTTTGCTGGGTAGACGTGCATTCCAGATTTCTATTCCCACTGAAAAAGTTTCGTCACCTTTATCTGCACTGCACTTCACCCTTCTCCTTTGTCCTCGCCCGCCGCTATCCGACCATACATCTCGCCCACCAATACATCACGACACAGCTAGCTCATCAATAGTCAAGGCGCAAGAGGCTCCTCCAAACTCCGAAGAGAAATTGCATGCATGCTGGCTGGCTCCTCCTGCAATCAGCCCAGGTATGCTCTTCTGCTAATCTTTCACGTCCTAATCTTTCATGCGTGGTGATGCGCACACATGTTTGATCCTAGTTGGAGTGGGTGTATGGGTCGCAATCATTTGCGGTGCTTGCTCTTGGTTCCATATGCGTTTAGGTGAGCAGGTGATGTCTACGAGCGGCGAAATATATAGGTCGACACTGACACCGCCCCACAATGTGAATGTGATGTTCATCCTCGGAACGTCTCATTCTGAGTGAGCAAGGATCACGATCGGTTACCTCCTAGTACCTCACAGGGGTGGACCTCAGCGTGAGAATGATTTTACCTTTTAGGTTGCGTTTCTTGACGTTGAGGCTGTACATAGAAGATATCCACTCCATCACATCAAATTACTATACCTTGCAAAGGAAAAATGCCAAAATGGACGAGTAACTCCACAGTTAACAATTCGCTAAAGGTTTCAGATGCTCGAGCAGACCCTGACATCTACTGGATACAGCTAGTTTCTGATGAATTGGTGATCTCCTACTCTAGTGCACGCTCGACGCCTTGGCTTCACCTCTGCAAATCCAAGGGTCCCTTTCAGCCAGCTTAAACGCCAGGATTAGAGTAGGCTATAAACACTGCACGGTGTAAGTGCTGATGGGGCCCGATCGCGCGTCGACCTCCTGGATCGCGAGTGGCAAGAGGCTTCACCCGGCAGCCCTCATCTGCATCTGCATACACCCATTCGCCTGTGGTCTTCCAGAGTCCCAGTTCCCACTTCCCTCGTTTGTCTTGTCCCCATTGCATCTTGCCGGAGGACTACATGTAAACCTCGCAAGAGGCCAAAAATAACGAGGTCTGTATATGAACAGGCGGCTATGCAAATTCACCGTTGAGAGGGAGTTCTCTTCTTCTTTTAATGAAATACGTGTTTAGGCCCGGTTAGAAAAAAAGCAGGAGTTCTCTTCCAGAACTTCTTGCGACGTAGGATTTACCCCATTTAAGCAGATCCACTGGCAGATAACATTAGCTAGCACCTCCTACTCCACAAAAAAAAAAACTGCAATTCTCTTTTTTTAAGGAGTCAATCAGTTTTAAGTTTGATTTGATATTTTTCACAAAAAAAATTATTAGATGTATAAAAAAGTACTAGTAACATTTATGAAACCAGATAAACATAATTAGATTGATAAAAGAAATATTTTTTTATTGTATTCCCTTAAAACTGAGAAAATAAATATCATAAGGTTACGGAGTAATATTTAGCAGTTGTTCCCTTTGCTCTAAATTATAAGTCACTTTGACTTTTTATGTATATCCATTTTGCTATGTATATAGATATAATAACATGTCTAAATACATAGCAAAATGAATAAACCAAAAGAGCCAAAGCGACTTATAATTTGAAACGGAGCGAGTTATTATTAGCTGAGTGCATCCAAATTGAGTCTTACTCTAACAAGTAGTAATCGAGTGTAGGGTGCGAATCAAGCCCATAGATTGCCGGCTGATTGCTTCAAAAGTGGAGAATATTCAGTCTCATCATTCTTGCTACCGGTAGCCTAGTAAGCAAAGGAGGAAGTTATCACTATTACACAAACAGTTAAGTTTGCTATATACTTTATCACCTAGATACACATGTTTTGTTTTAGGCCAGTCAGTGGGAGTTTCATATGAGTTTTATTTACATTAAATATATTGTCATATAGGCATTTTTTATGACATGGCAGCATATTTAAGAAGAGAGAAAAGAAATGAGTTTCATCTACGATTACTAACTCTTTATGAGTTATGAAATTAAATGCTAATGAAACTATAGAATGAAGCTCTCCATTAAGTGTGTTTCAACCAAGTTCCATTTCATTTCATATAATATAGCAGTCTTGGAAATATTATATAGAGTTACATTAAAGGTCCGTCTCTGACAATAAAGCTATATGATTAAAAAATTTGATCACTGAGAAATGAGAACAACCAAACATCTACTAAAGGAAAATCGTGACTATCAAAGACTAGTCATGACACTAGATGCAATACAAACGTGCCCTCGATTAGTCGTTTTGTGCTACCAGCACAAGGGGCGTTGTACTCTTGCATCCAGTAGCCAGTATATGGTCGGGAGTACAGGTCCTGTTGCGCTCACCATCTGCGTGCACGTACCACGCGCACACTGATCGTCCTCTTGGCCGCGTCTCGGTCTCCCGGAGCAGACGAACAGCGGCGCACAGCATCTCTGTCACGTACTCGCTGACGAGGCCAGAGGACTTTTCCGAGCAGCTGTGCCGCTCACTGATCAGCCAGCCTCCCCGGTCCCGGGCACACAGGCTACTCACTTGACAAACCCATGTGGCCGTCTCACCAACTCGGTGCTGCCCCTGCTGCCCGGTGCCGGTGCGACGGCACAGCCCAGAGGCCAGAGCCTGAGAGCCCAACCCGAATTCGGAACCAGCCGTGCCGTGTGCCGTTCCGTTCGAACCCCGAGCGCGCGGGCGCACGCCACCTGCCACTCGCCGCGGCTCGGGCACCCGCATTTACGCTGGCGCGGGCGGCGTACACCAACCAACCAACGCTCGCCCCGAGCAAGAGTAACGTTCGGCTGGTGGCACTGGCACTGGCACAGTGGCACCGCTCGCCGCTCGCCTCTGGTTGGTTCCGCGTCCGCTGGCTTGCCTTCGCTCGTTGCTCCAATGATTTTCGAATTTGAATCGCGCACCGGCACCGGTCGGTCGCGTCGGCTCCTGGGGCTGGGAGCCGTGCGTCTCGCGGTCGCAACCTCGCCTCGCGGTCGCAGCCTCGCCCGGATTTATTTTATTATTAATAGGCAGACAAATTTCCCGTCCGTTCCCACGAGAAAGGCAGCGCTCAAACAAGCGCCGCTTGCCAGCTTCCGCCTTTTCATGACCACGCCGCTCCTGCTGTGATCCTAGGACGACGCGCCACGCCGGGAGGGGAAGGGAGGCTGAAGCACGAGCGCCGCCGCAGCCACGAGCTCCCGGAGGACCATGCCGAGATCCAGGTGCGTGCCGAGCTGGCCGAGATCAACGCCGCCGCCTCAGTGGCGGTGCTGCGGGTTTCGTTTCTGACACATGGCTGGTGGCTGGTTTCCGTTTCAGGGGCAACGAGCCGCCGCCGCCGCGGGCGTCGCAGCGCGCGCCGCTGCACCTCAAGACGCCGGCCGACGCGAATGGTGCGCACCACCGCCCCGTCGCCGACCGGAGCAGCCCCAAGGTCGGGGACCGGCACTCACCGCGCAGCCCTCTTCCCGAGGTAAAGTTTCGTTTTCTTCTCCCCCCCCCTCCCATCCTTTTTTATTTCGGTGCTGTGGCTCACTGTTTCGCCGGCGGCGGCGGGTGGCAATGGGTCTTGCAGAAGAAGCGTGCGGCGGGGACGCGCGTGGCGGAGCTGGAGGCGAAGCTGGGGAAAGTGCAGGACGAGCTCAAGAAGCTGCGGGAGCAGCTCGCGTCCGCTGAGGCCGCCAAGAAGGACGCGCAGGTCGCGCTCGAGGAGGCCAAGAAGCGCGTCGGTACCAAGGGAAGCCCGGCCTCCACCACCACCACCTCTCCTCTCTCTCCCCCTTCGGCGGGGGTCGAAAGCGCCAAGAAGACCGAGGAGCTCAAGGTGCCTCAGCCGGCGGCGGCCGAGGAGGAGAGCAGCATAAACGCGCCGGCGACCGATGTGTTCGAGGTCGTCCGGGCCGAGTCGGGGGACAAGGAGAACCAGAGCGCGGCTGAGGACTGCGAGGTTGTGAGCTGCGGCGAGAAGGCGGCGCTGGCCGAGAAGGAGGAGGTGGAGGAAGAGGAGACGAAGAAAATGATCGGGGAGGACAACAGCGCGGCGGCGGTGGAAACCGACGGCGCCGAGAAGGAGAAGGAGAGCCCGGAGGTCGTGGAGCTGAAGGCTAAGCTGTCGGAGAAGGACACGGAGATCGCTGCCCTCGCGGCGGAGAACGCTGAGCTGAAGAAGCAGGCCGGAGAGGCCGCGGAGGTGGCGAAGAAGGCCGGAGAGGACGCCGCGTCGAAGGCGGCCCAGGCCGAGCACGATCTGAAGGAGGGCGCGGCGCGGGAGGCCCGGATGGGCGAGCAGCTGAGGGCGTCGGAGGCCGCGCGGGAGGCACTGGACGGCGAGCTGCGGCGCCTGCGCGTGCAGACCGAGCAATGGCGCAAGGCGGCAGAGGCGGCGGCCGCGGTGCTCGGCGGGGACAACCACCTCACCGGACTGGCCGGCAACGGCAACGGCAACGGCTGGGGCTCCCCCGCCACGATGCCCGACGACGGCGACGACGAGGGCTTCGGTGGCAAGCGGAAGGGCGCCGGCATCCGGGTGCTCGGCGACCTGTGGAAGAAGAAGGGGAGCAAGTGATGAAGCCCTGGCCGCGGAATGGGGGATCGTGTCTCGAATTTCGCAATGGTGAGCTCGCCCAGCCCGCCAGCTTGTTGAAGCCTTGAACTCCATGCCTTCTTTGCACTAGCTTAGCTCCATCATTTTACCGCGTTTTGGTTCGGATTCTACTTATGTTTTGTATGACGATGATGAGATGATGCTCGTGAGATTGAACTACTATGTCTGTAACGCCTGATCCCGCTGCTGCTGCCTGCTACCTCAGCGTAAGGAGCAACCAAGATGGTTTGGTGTTTTACTGCATTTGCGGTGCTGTTGATGATGGAGTGAATGCTTTCGGTGATCTTCTTTGTTGTTTTTGTGGTGGAATTGAGGAATGCTTGATTGCAGCAATCTGGAAATGCCTCTTGTCCCTCGAACGAATTCCAAGATATCATTGCAACGCGTGGGATCTTCAGTGGCCTTTAGAAGAAAAAAATCGCTGGAATCAAGATGAGGTTCATGGCTTATTGTATGGTGGGCTGTTCATGATTCTTCCATCGTATGATTGCATCCTATGAGAGGATTCTTGATTGGTTTGAGCAGCGCAATGAAATATACTAGCATCTTGGTGAATATCCGTAGGGCCACCTGATAATTTGATTTCGAGGTGTCTAGCTATAAATCATAATCAAGCATCCTCAGCGCAGCCACTCCCGCCAAACCGGCAACAGGCCATTTTCTGCGCCGCATGAATTGTCCGCCGCCTCCGTCTGCTTGTTCGTGTTCCCATGGACCTCGTCATCAGGAGTTTGAGGACCGACGGAGCCCGGAGGAGGTGAAGATGTTCGAGGCAGGCTCATCCTCTGTCATGCCGAGGCCGACGCCGCTGATCGATTGCAATCACGGACATCGAAGCCGAATCCGTTCTGGAACGACGCCATTACGCTGGGCATAAGTGGGCCCGTTTCCGCATAGGCCGCATGGCAGTCGTGGACTGGTCCCGATTCAGGCAGTGTACTGTCTGATTCGATGCGACATTTTCTGCTTCTGTATGTATAGTACTCCAGTTTTGTACCGCTAACCTGAAATATGGAAAGTTTAATCTTTGACTAATATCTAAAGTCACTTTTCTATACAGACTGACAACGCGAGGTTTGGGCGTCACTTTTCTATTTAACCAGGACAATTTTCTATTACGGTCAAAATAACATTAGGATAATAATTAGGCTGTGTTTAGTTCGTGAAATTTGGGAATTTGGACTACTGTAGCACTTTTGATTTTTATTTATCAATTAGTGTTCAATCATGAACTAATTAGGCTCAAAACGTTCGTCTCGCGATTTTCAACTAAACTGTGCAATTAGTTTTTTTTCGTCTACATTTAATGCTTCCATACACGTATCGCAAGATTCGATGTGATGTTTACTGCAGCACTTTTTGGGAAACTTTTTAAAAACTAAACACAGCCTTACTAAGGATTTATCTTGAACACATGCAACACTTTCGCAACAATAACAAGATATTATTAGGGCTTGTTTGCGTTAGTCGTTTTCTCTCTTCTCATAAAATAAACTAGAAATCTAAAGAAACCACACTTTGCAGCTTCTCCGACTTTGGCTGGTTTTGTAGCACAAGCCCGAGGGAGCCTGACTAAACAAGGCTTGGCTTTAGTACGCCTATTTTTCTTACGGAGGTCGACTTGAGCTGTGCCATTTGAAACCATAGGAATACACGTTAGATTGATCTCTTTCAATTGGCCTAATGGTTAATTGGGTCCTGATCCGTGCTCTGATCAGAGGTGCCTAACCGTTCCATGGTTGATGCGCACCCATCGCACAGCGCCATCAAAAAGGGAGGTGGGGGCCGCCTGAGCCACCAGACGCCCCATCTACATTCCCTAAACCCTAACCGATCTAAGTGAGGGCGTTGTCAGCGACGGGAAGCACCGCCACCGGCCAACGCCGCCACTGCACCCAAGAACATGTACTAGTACGGAATTAACAGAGAGCGGGATGCGGGTAGCAAACCATCGACCGCCTTTGTAGAAGACGAGCTAGCCATCGCGGTGCTCGGTGGAGACTCGGTGGAGGCACGACGGTGAAAGGCGGTGGTTCGCTAGACCAAAGATTCGCCCAAAGTGAGGCAGGCAAGGGCGGCTTTTTTTTACCCAGCCTAGGTTGCGGCCCGGAAAGGCAGCCACAAAGATTTGAGTAGGCCGGGTCGGATTTCACCGTGACGAGCTCTGTTTCAACGGGCTGGGCTAAATGAACAGTGCTAACTGAGTTTTTGTTTTTAATTTTCAGAAGCAAATTTTGATGATTTTTAACTAGTTTAAATCTCTGTCAAAATTTGAACCAACGAATAATTTGTTCAGAGAGTAGATGAATGCTTCTGAAAAGTAGATAAAGAATTACTTTTTTTCATGTTTCTGCTGCAATAGTTTATTATCTTCTAATTAAATTCGAACCAACGGGAGAATTTAATTTGAAGAGCGGTTGAATTTTATTCAGTAAATTATAATATTATTATTTTCTGACCAACGTTGATAATAGCAATATTATAATGATTATTCATAAGTTTTTTCATGCATTAATTCTATTTCTGCCCAACGGTGATGTAGAATTAATGTATAAGAAGGTTATATGTTTAATTTTGACCAACGTTAAATTAAGGCATGCAATTATTATGATATATTTTCTCACTATCTTTGACGGTGCTTTTCGGGCTCAACCCAATGGCATTTATCTCGCACATCCCGCCTCTTGAAGGGGGCAACTATAGGGTATGGTGAAAGAAGTATGAACTAGCACTTGTGCTATTTGAAAATGACATAGTTGTTACCTCCCCATGTCCAACTGAGCCAGTGGACCCAGTGAGGGAAGATAATAAGAGCGATGCTGATTTCACTGCTCGGCAGCGAGATCATGCAGAAGTGCGGATGAAATATGATCTCAAGCGTAAGAAATGGAACATTTCAAACCACAAGTGATTGATGGTGGCTAAGTTCATAATTTCAGATGCAATAAGATGGTCTATCCCAGATTGTGATATCACCAAGAGTATCTTAAGAAGGTGGAAAGTCAGTTCACTGGCTCTTCAAAGGCTTAAGCCAGTACTTTGATCAAGAAATTGTTCAATGAGAAATATACTGGTGGCGGTATCAGAGAGCACATACTGAAGATGAGCAACATGGCTTCGAAGCTGAAGCCAATGGATTTGAGGCTCAAGGACGAGTTCCTGATTCATTTGGTTTTTGCTTCCTTACTAAAGGAATATAAAACTTTTGTTGTTAATTACAACATACAGCCCAATAAGCGGGATATAGAAAAGTTCATCGCAATGTGTGTTTAAGAAGAGGAAATGCTGAAATCCTTACAGGATGACTCTGTGAAAGGTCCTAATGGCTAGAGGGGGTGAATAGCCTATAAATTTTTTTGACAACAACACTTAACAAACCGGTTAGACGAATATAAGGCAAAGCGTGTGTTCTCTAGCATACTAAAAATGCAAGTCACCAACCATAATTCTAGTTTATATAGTCTTTATCCACACAATGCCTATATCACTACACTAAGTTAGTACTCTCAAAGGCTAACTAAAGAGCCACACTAACTAAATTAATAAGCTCTCATAATTAGCTACACTAAAGAGCTTGACAACTAGTTTGTGGTAATGTAGAGAGAGTGAGCAAGATGGTTATACCGCCGAGTCGAGGAGTGAAACAATCAATCACAAGAATCAATATCAATGAAGACCAATCACCTCGGAATCAAATGATGACACAATGATTTTTTACCGAGGTTCACTTGCTTGCCGGCAAGCTAGTCCTCGTTGTGGTGATTCACTCACTTGGAGGTTCACGCGCTAATTGGCATCACACGCCAATCACTCAATAGGGTGCCGCACAACCAACACAAGATGAGGATCACACAAGCCATGAGTAATTCACTAGAGTACATTTTGGCTCTCTGCTGAGAAAGATCAAGAACCCCTCATAATCACCACAATCGGAGCCGGAGACAATCATCAACCTCCGCTCGACAATCCTCGCTGCTCCAAGCCATCTAGGTGGCGGCAACCACCAACAGTAACAAGCGAATCCCACAGCGAAACATGAACACCAAGTGCCTCTAAATACAAACACTCAATCAATGCACTTGGATTCACTCCCAATCTCATAAAGATGATGAATCTATGATGGAGATGAGTGGGAAAGCTTTGGCCAAGCTCACAAGGTTACTATGTCAATGCAAATGGCCAAGAGAGTGGGCTAGAGCCGGCCAAACGATATTTATAGACACCCCAAACAATAGAGCCGTTGGCTCAATTATTAGGCTAACTACGCGTCGACCGGCCACGCAGGTCGTGTGCACCGAACGCACCGGTCGTGTATACCGGACGCGTCCGGTGTGGTGACCGGACGCCAATGTCTTCCTAAATAGTAAACGGTCTTTACAGGGTCGTCCTTCGTTTAGCGTTTGGGTTGTTTACACGGTGTTTAAACGAAGTTAAACGGTCTAAATGGTTTTGTACTTTAAAAAAATACATATAATTATATATGTGCATATAAAAATCAAGTATTCTAGCATTTATACATATTTATCTGAGTAAAAATCAATTATTTTGGTATGTATAAATATTTATGCATGTGAAAAGAACCAAATATAGATATTTATGCATGTAACATATCAAGTGTACACAATTATAAATACTAGTATAATGCCCATGCTAACGCTACGGTTTTAATCTTGGGATGCTCATAATTATAACCAATTTATTCTTTATAATATTACTATTACACAACAATTGTATTTGAGTCTATATATAATTTGGGAACACTTTTCATATAAGTGCACACTGTAAAGTTAGATTCTACCTAACTCCTTAATCATGTATTGTAGATTATCAGGGATGTTGTCGCTACATTCTTTTGCATTACTCGTCAAAATATCGGCCAAGAATTCCCTCCTCAGCGAAGTTGGTAGCTGTGCATGGCAGATAACAATAAATAAGTTATTATTTTTCAATGTAGTTTATGA